GGATCTTCTGCCATGTCTCTGGAGAAGCCTGGCTGACTGTGTTGTCCCCCTAGAGCTTGGTGGGCAGCCTCATTCCTTGACTGAGGACTCAGTGGGAAGCTCAGGTATGCTTTAGTGATTAGCATTACTTGACAGAAATGGCAAGCAGATTCTAAATATATTGTACTTGTCTGATGTGGAAAGGCCTGATGTTGACGCAAAATCCGCAACTACCGCATAGCAAAGGTATAAGCTATTTCTAGTCATTGATTCTGGCAAATGCCCAGTGTAATTATAAACAGTCAGGCCACAGAGTTAATCAATTCACACAGATTGTGATAAGTCAGCCAGTGTTGCATAACACCGGTGCTGTGCTAAATCACAGTCTGTGCCAGCAAATCACAAAGGGCAAAGCCGCACAGCCGGCTGCTCCTGCTGGCCTGCACTGCACTGCACTTACAGCCACACTCCAGCCAGCTCTGCAATGGTGGCGGTTATAACAGTTCTTCTTTTCATTAAACACCCAAATGCAAGCAAATTAATACCTGCTTTACTGGTCCGACTATATCAAACAGTTATTCCAGTAGTGCATCTGTCTGAGTCTTTGCTCATAGAGGCAGAGTGAAGCAAAATACAATGAACACCACCCTGTCATTATCCCCATGGTGGCTGTTGCAGCCCCAAAAGTCAGAACGGAGGAAAATTTGCAAGTTTTCACTGGAGCTCCATGTTAGCCCCACATCTTCCAGAGTGGTTGTGTAACTATTTTACTATTTTAACACCTAACTTCGTTGAAAATGAGGCAAATGGTAAACATACAGGGCACAACAGGAAACCAGGATGTGCAGCTTTTCAGCTACTGGCGACTTCTTTATAATCAGCATTCAACACAAGCATTATTGTAAACACAAACACCACCACCTTACTTTCTCCGCAGCACTAAAGGTAACAATAACCATGCTATACTGGGCATTAGTTCTGTCATCACACAGAAAACAAACAATCTTACTGACATACACTACATCAATTTAACACTGTATTTAAGAATCAGCTTTGTTTCTTTAGTAGTGAAACACACAGGAAACAGACAGCAAGAGAGGAAAGGCTGGGAAAGCCGCCATGTTTGTTATTAGCTGGCCCTATCTGCCCTTTGCACCTGGGTCAACATGGAAATGGCAGTCTACCTAAACATTAACAACATTATTGGGATGTTTGCATGCTATATTAATAAAGGTGGGGAAATAAAAAATGTGACTAGGACATTTCCTGCACAGTCCACCCAAAACATCTATTTGTTTACAGTCTTCTGCATATAGCGAAGCAGGCCTTTAGCTCACAGTGGTCTCATTCTTCTCTCTCTCTTTACTGAGAGAAAAGCAGGAACTCCAAGTGGAAATTGATTCCCTGGTTCCAAAGCAAAGGATGTGGAACATGAGAAGGGATTTTCAGTTTCAGTGTAGGAAACAAAGTGCAACACAAACTACACTATGAATGCTTAATGCTAAGTGTTGCTGAAGTAGTGTTTTTAAATAGAGCGTTTAAGGGAGAACCTCAGGCAGGCCTATTGTTGTGGATGAATTCCTGTTTCGCTACATGTCACATGGAAAAAAAAAGCAGCTGCTGAAAGCAGTGAA